ACAGTTCATGATGTGCCTGTGGTCAGAGACTACCCCGATGTTTTCCCTAAAGAATTACCGGGTATGCCACCAGACCGTGATGTGGAGTTCATCATTGATCTTTTGCCAGGAACAGGACCCATTGCCAAGAGACCCTATCGCATGTCAGTAGATGAACTGGCCGAGCTCAAGAAACAGCTTGATGAGCTCATCTCAAAGGGATATATCATACCCAGTGCTTCACCCTGGGGATCTCCTGTTCTGTTTGTTAAGAAGAAGGATGGCTCGATGAGAATGTGTATTGATTACCGGAACTTGAACGCAGTCACCATCAAGAATAAGTATCCCCTACCAAGGATTGATGATTTGCTTGATCAACTTAGAGGTGCCAAGTATTTCTCTAAGATTGATCTCAGATCTGGCTATCATCAGATGAAGATTCGAGAGAGTGACATCCCGAAGACAGCTTTTGTGACTAGGTACGGACAGTTTGAGTTCACTATGGTATCCTTTGGACTCACGAATGCTCCCGTATACTTCATGAACATGATGAATAAGGTTTTCATGGATGAACCAGATAAGTTCGTGGTGGTATTCATTGATGACATTCTTGTCTATTCTTCCACCGCTGAAGAACACGAACATCATCTAAGAACTGTACTTGAGAAACCAGCCCAACATCAGCTCTATGCAAAGTTCAGCAAATGTGAGTTTTGGCTACAGGAAGTTGCCTTCCTAGGCCATGTACTATCAGCTGAAGGTGTAGCAGTTGACCCAGCTAAGATTGAAGCTGTGAAAGAATGGGAACAACCCCGTAATGTGACAGAAGTCAGAAGTTTCTTGGGATTGGCTAGATATTATCGCCGATTCATTGAGAACTTTTCCAAGTTAGCCCGTCCGATGACCAACCTTCTGAAGAAGACCAAGGAGTTTGAATGGACGCCCGAGTGCGAACAAAGCTTCCAGGAATTGAAACGGAAGCTTACCACCACTCCTATGTTGGCATTGCCAGATATCAGCAAAGATTTCATGGTCTATTGTGATGCATCCCGTCAAGGACTTGGTTGTGTATTGATGCAAGATGGAAGGGTGATAGCTTATGCTTCCCGATAGTTGAAAGAACATGAGAACCGTTACCCTACTCATGATCTTGAGTTAGCAACAGTTGTGCATGCCTTGAAGATCTGGAGGCACTACTTGATAGGCAATAAGTGTGATATCTACACTGATCACAAGAGCTTGAAGTACTTCTTCACTCAAGAGGATTTGAATATGAGGCAACGCCAATGGCTAGAGTTGATCAAGGACTATGACCTGGAAATTCACTATCATCCAAAAAAAGCTAATGTAGTCGCAGATGCTCTCAATCGAAAGAGTTATCACACACACTTTGATCAATTTGAATCCGTACCACCACCGAGCTCAAGGAAGAGATTGATAATTTCCAACTTGAGATACTACCATATGGCTTATTTGAATGAGCTCCGATATAAAGATGATCTCACAGATCGCATTCACAAGCTCGTAAAAATTGTGAAGAGATCGAATATCTCCGAGGTCCGATGAAACTAGGCTACAAGACCAACCACCATGAAGATGAACAAGGAACCATTTGGTTCAAGGATAGAATCATGTACCTTTCCGATCCAACCCTACGAGGGAAATTCACGTAAGCCCATGACTCTAAGTCTTCAGTATTCACCCTAGAAATTCAAAGATGTATCAAGACTTGAAGAAACACTTTTGGTGGAAAGGCATGGCGGCAACATTGCAGGACATGTGGCACGATGTGACACCTATAATAGAGTTAAGGCAACATCAAAGGCCCGCAGGATTGCTAAAGCCTCTTGACGTTCAGTGGAAATGGGAGAGCATATCCATGGATTTTATAGTTGGATTGCCCTGCTCACGTAAAAGGCAACGATTCCATCCGGGTGATTGTTGATCGTTTAACCAAGATTGCTCACTTTATACCGGAAAACCAAGACCAATGCGTAAAAATTAGCGATCTATATATTGAGCATATTCTCAGACTGCATGGAGCACCCTCTAGTATTGTATCTGATCGTGGTCCTCAGTTTGTGTCCCGATTTTGGGAAGCTCTGCACAAGTCTATTGGAACCAAACTTGATTTCAGTACCGCTTACCACCCGCAGATAGATGGATGTATGAACGAGTAAATCGATCTTAGAAGACATGCTTCATATTTAGTGTGTTTGAATTATGGCTCGATTGGGAGAAATGCTTACCCTATGCAGAGTTCTCTTATAATAATAGCTACCAAGCCAAGATCAAGATGTCGCCGCTTTGAAGCTCAGATGGCGTGCACCTTGTAAGACACCTTTGATGTGGTCTCAACCGGGTGAGAGATCATTCTTTGACTCGCTAAGATTCAAGAAGCAGAAGGAGTTGCTCAAGTAAGAGAGAATTTAAGAATTGCTCAAAGTCGATACAAGAGCTATGCTGACAAAAGGAGGAGAGAACTTGAGTTTAATGTGGGGGATTTCGTCTATCTCAAGGTATCCCCGCTACGTGGGACTGTCAGATTCCATGTGAAAGGAAAGCTTGCCCCTAGATTTGTTGGCCCGTACAAGATTTGCAAAAGGATTGGAAAGCTCGCCTACAAACTTGAGCTACCTGAGGAATTGGTGGGTGTACATCCCGTATTCCATGTCTCCCAGCTACGCAAATGTTTGAGAGTGCCCGATGAAGTAATCTCGACTGATACACTTGACATTCAAGATACACTTGAGTATAGAGAACATCCTATCAGAATTCTAGACAGAGATACCAAAGAAACCCGAAGCAAGACTATTCCTATGTGCAAGATCCAATGGAGTAATCACACTGAGAGAGAAGCAACATGGGAGAAAGAGTCGGACCTCCGGCTATGATATCCTTACCTCTTTGAAGAGTACGTTACGCTTTAATCTCGGGGACGAGATTCTGTTAAGGGGATAGGACTGTAACAACCCAGAAATCCACACACCAAAAATCACAACTACAAAATTTTTTCTTAAAACTCCCATGTGATGATAAGTGACATTGTAGGAGCCAACCCTAAGAGTTGCATTAGAAGTAACCCAACCTAAGTCAACACATAAGCATGGCATATCATTTGTTGATTATGATTATTAAATTTCCAACAAATAACATATTGCATACAATGTTAACTTAAATTATGATTTGGGTTTTCATTTGCTTTATGCTATGATTGACAATTCCATTTAAATAATAAATCATAAAGTTATTATTAAACAAAATTCCCTAAACTCCAATAAATAAGTTACCTCAGTTTTGAATTCAAATTCTAAACCAAATTTGAATTCAAACAAATCGGGGTTGTTTCAGTGCTCGCCACTCCGCTAGTGCACCGGCGAGCTCCATGCACCACCGACGACCTCCGCACCGTCGTCGAGCTCCACAACGATGAGCTCCATTCGTCCAAGCAGCAAGGTGATATTGCACTGAAAACGCATGTTGCAAGTGTATGTTTCAAGTGTTTAAGATGTTTTCGAGGTATGTTGCAAATGTTTCAAATGAATGTTGCAAAAGTAGATCGAGATGTTGTATATGTTGTAATGGTTGTACACGTATATTGCAAAGGTCTGTTTCTAATGTTTTATCTAGTTTTTTGACGTATGTTGCAAGTATTTTATCTGGAATATTGCATATATTTCACATATATGTTGGCCAACTCTTTTAGATCCTCCTCTATGGGATGTTGTAGAAGAGTTTTTTCTATATTGAAAAAAATTCCAAATTACCTCTCTCAACTTTCGTGAAAGTCCGTTTTCTCTCTGAACTCTAAATCTCGGCAAATCACCTCCCTCAACTTTTAAAATCGTTCATCTTACCTTCCTGGCCCTGTTATAAGTAGTTTTGAAGGCGGTTTTGTCTTTTTCTTTTTTATTTATTTCGGTTGAATCTTTAAAAAATCATAGTAAATCATAGAAAAATCATAAAATAGAAAATCTAATTTTGTTGAACTTCACATGAGTAGATCTACACAGTGAACATATAATATGGTATGCTTTAGTATAAAGTTTTTGATGTGGCTTTAGATCTATATTTTTATGTAATTAATTAGAATAATTCATAGCTACAGTTTCTATTGTCCAATTGTGATGAAATTTTTATGGTGGGTTAATTATTGTATGATTGAATTGTAGTAAAAATTTCATACTCATTCGATCATGTATAGCTTAGTTATAGATTTATTTATATTTAACAAGCATAAACTTAAATAAAATCTATAACTATGTTATACATTATCCAATGAGTATGAAATTTTTACTATAATTTAATCATATAATAATTAGTCTACTATAAAAATTTCACCATAATTAGACCATAGAAACTGCAACTATGAATTATTTCATTTAATTACAAAAAACATAGATCTAAAGACACAACAAAAACTTTATACTAAAACATACCATATTATATATTTACTATGTCAATCTACTCATGTGGAGTCCAACAAAATTAGAATTTTTATTTTATGATTTTTCTGTGATTTTTCAAAGATTCAGCCAAAATAAATAAAAGAGAAAAATACAAAACCACCTTCAAAACCACTTATAATAATAGGGCCAAGGAGGTAAGATGAACGGTTTTAAAAATTAAGGGAGATGTTTTGCCTGGTTTTGGAGTTTGAGGAGAAAAAACGGACTTTCGTGAAAATTGAGGAGGTAATGTGGACTTTTTGCTTCTGTATTCCCAGACCAAGCCGAGCACATCTTTTAAGGCCCATGTAGTGCCAACTCAGATGGGCTCCAAAGTACCAGGATGAGGCCGGGCCCATGTGGAAGATTGGGGCACGAGCACGACTCGGCCTTTTCTTGTCTTCTTGCTCATAAAATCCCAACCCATCGGAAAACAGGGGAGGGGAAAAAAGGGTACTCGAAGAATTGGGGGAAGAGAGAGAGAGAGAGAGAGGGGGCGAGCCGAATCGAATCGAGCCGGGAGAAGCGTCAGAGACAGGGAGGAGGGCGGCGGAATCGGCGCCGGCGGCAGGCATGGAGGACCTGAGCGTGGAGGAGCTCGCCTCCAACCTCTCCACCTACAAAGAGCAGCTCCGCGAGGTCTCTTCTCCCCCTCTCCCCACCCTCTCCTCGATCTGGCTGCGCCCCCTTTCCGTTCTGGCTGCGATTCTTCCAGAATGGTCGTTCTAGCGAGTGTTTTCGTCTGCGGCTCAGGATTCGCGCGCGGCTGTAACCGAATTCCTGTACTATGGATGTTCCGCTCTGATTCTAGGCTAGGGTTTTAATTATTTGATTAATGTAAGTTTCATTACTTGTAGAATTCGTTTATGCGTAATAGGATTATACTTATCAGGTTTGCTCGGTTATTTGCATGTCGCAGTATTGGATTCATAGGAATAGGGATTCACAGGAATAGGGTCGAGCTTAGCCTTACCTTTTGAATTAGCAACATAATCATTTACCTTATATAGGATGTAGCCATTTAGGTATTAATCCAGTGCCTTTGGAATTACGACTTTTGCTCCTGGCTCCTAATGACTAGCAGCAAAAAGCGGCGTTATCTTTATGCCTATTTATATATGTATTTTATATGTTAATTAGGTTATTTATTTGATGGAAACCACCATTTGTTAGAGACTTCATGTTATGCATTTTAGGCATGAGGCTCTGGTGTTGCTGTCGATGTTTATAACATGTGACCTCACTCTTGTTCAAACCCTCTGTCTCTCATCTCATTCTTATTTTTGACTAGTGATTTCATTTTGAGGAATGATATTGTTCAAGCAGATGCGGTGCACTATTTTCTTCTGTTTGGAAACTGCCAATAATATGCTATATTGGCACCACACTACTTGTTGGTCACTGATTAATAATGAAGTTTGCATTAGTCAAGATCCTTGTTATCCCTATCTCTCACTGAAAGTTTCATGCTAATTCCTTGCATTTATTTTTCCTTACCAAATCTCTTTTACTGTGAAACATTTCTTGTTATGTCCATGTGTTTTAGATACTAATCAAATTCATGTACTATGTCCATGCGTTTCAGGTTAAGAAGCTTATCAAGGAGAAAAAGGATGACCCTGGAATTTCTGAATATATTGATATGGAGAAAGAGCTTCAAGAAGTGAGTTCATTTCTTATTTTATCCTGTAATGTGATGCCCTCATGCTTGTGTAGCTACACGTCAGATACATCGAATTAATGATTTTTCACCAATGGATGCTTGATTTCTTCTCTGATTTTTGGGGCCTGTTGCTATCGATTCCTCTCTCTTCTTTGTTACAAGGAGCCATGCCCAGCAAGGTAGCATGCAAAGGCCGCTTGCAACAGAAGATTTGTTTTTGGGGAATTTAGATTTTTTTTGTAACCTTGAAAGGTGAGAAGGTTGATTATGACAATGGTAGGGACTGTCTGAGCAACCATATTAATAGTAATGAACAATATGTAAAAATTCAGTGGCTTCAAAGTTGTCCATTACCCTTTATCTTGATTGATTGCAGGTTTGTACTCCTCCTGATTTGGGTGTCGCTGCTGCTGTTCTAAGTTGGATCTCGAAAAATACGAGCGCATATTTAGTAATACTGGGAGGTTTCTTGTGTTTATGATGCTTAATGTCATTTTTTGTGACCGCTGCAGGTCATAACATTAACCGAAGAGATTTTGGCAACTGCAAAGCAAACTGAGAGTGCCCAGAATGCTGCAGGTCTATCACCACCAAATTATTCAGCTGGAGTGCAGTCTGAGGTAGCTTTTTTCTTCATTACTCGTTGGATGGCTTCCTTCCTTTAGCTGAAATTCTGAATAAGAAAGACATACATGCCAATTGTTCCATAGATAAAGGGATTGTCCTGATGAATTACAATTTGTGTTGCTTGCATTGAAATATAATGGCTTGTCTTCCTACACTACTCTGACAGTCTTGTGGCAGGGACTGGATGACCTTTCGCATTCCCATAAGTTTGCTGTTGGTACTAGAGTTCAAGCTGTGTGGAGTGAAGATGGGGAATGGTGAGCTTCTCTTTGATATACCTAGCGTTGTTTGTGTCTAGATACAACAACAAACAACATAGCCTTTCAGTCCCAAGCAAGTTGGGTGTTTGTGTCTAGATGATTGTCTTTAATATTTTTTTACATCATTCCATTACAACATGTTTGATTAGCTGAATTGCCAGGTATAATGCAACAGTTGAAGCTTTGACACCAAATGGATATTATGTAGCCTACGATGGCTGGGGAAACAGGGAAGAGGTATGCTCCTTTTTTTTCTGAAAGCAATATATTTTTTCTTCTAAAAATAGAGTTGGTATATTCATATATGAGTATGGAGCAAACAGCTACTTCAGTTGCACTAAACAGAATTGTTTCTCATATTACTTGTGTGATGACCAAAACAAATTGCTAATGGGTTGAGTTGTTCTCATGAACATGGGTCATCCTAGCTACATTTATCCTGTTTAAGTTTGTCTTGTAAGATTGCTATATAGTAATTAGTAATTCATATATAGTTCTGAACTTCTATAATATGTTGTTCTAAGCTATTAATTTCACTGCCTTGTATAGGTGGACCCAGATAATGTGAGGCTGCTTGAGGAAGAAGCAGCTGATGCTTTGAGACAAGTTGAAAAGGAAGCTGAAGCTACAAAAATGGCAATAAAGAGGAAAATTGAACAAGCAGCAACATCTGATTTTCAGGCGCGTAGCTTGCCAGCCAAACTTCGTATCGAACCAAGTGATCCTGAGGATGTTGTAAGTGAAAAAGTTCGCCCTTTCATTTCGATAATGTGCCTCGCAAGCTTCAACTAACCTGAACCTTTTGGTATCATGTGTTCTTGCTGACCCTTTTGTGTTTGCAGAAAGCTGCAAAGCGTAAGAAAATACATGCTTTCAAATCAAAAGCCCGCTTTGAGCAACTTGAATTTGCCCAAAACAAGCGGCAGAACACATGGCAGCAGTTTCAAACCAAAGGGAAAGCCAAAAAGGTAGCTTCTTGGCCCCCACACCATATTATTTTTTAAAAACATTGCTAGGCACTCTTTCATTAAGTTTGAAAAACTGAATTTCAAGGTACCTGCCTATCCTCAGCTTTCATGCTATGATGACCAAAATGGAGCATCTGCATCCCAGTTAGTGGAGAAACAGATTGTCTGAACTTTGATGGTTTGTTTGCAGGTGGGGTTCTTCTCTGGTCGCAAGAAGGAGAGCATCTTCAAGTCACCGGATGACCACAGAGGTAAGGTGGGTGTCACTGGGAGTGGCAAAGGCCTGACTGACTTCCAGAGGAGGGAGAAGCATCTGCACCTTAAAGGTGGCTCCGGGGATGCAGCGGATGATGAGGAATAAACCGAACCGGCATGTCACTTATTTGTTAGCTTGTGAGTGTATCATCACCAAACAGACATTTCCATGGCTGTTGTTTAGTGCCGACCTGGCCTCCAGGGGAGCCTGTACTCTTTAACTTGTGGAAGCTAGAAATATCAATGTTGTGCCATTCTATATATAGAGATGCTGTTGCCTTCAGGCGCCCCTCCACTCATCATTGTTGAATTGTCGCGGTCGTTTTGAAGTGGCCTTTTGGTAGCATTTTGAAAGCACTCAAGACTATGGAGGGACAAGTGGGCAACCCTCGACATAGAAGCAGTATGGTGTAATGTTTGTTCATTCCTGGAGCTCTGCTTCTCAGCTATTACCTGTGCTGAGCTGATAGTGCCATCGTTTACAAACTTTATCTAAATATGCTTAGGTAGCATGTAAGATTAGCATGTAGCTCCTATTTCTGGAGTGACTGAGGGCACAAAGCACTTTTCCAAATATGGTAATAGAGTCTCTTTTTTTTTTACAATAAATGCCTCACATAAATGAATTACTACAAGGCCCTCTTACACTGTGAAATTATACTTTATGGTCCCAATCAATTTTCCTCTTGGATCGGCCTCTGGTCGCTGGTCGGAGACACTATTTAAAAGAGGGCTATTCTCCTGCACCCACCCACCGGTCCACCACACTGCTTGCAATGGCTCCGTCTACCTGCATAGAAGGCGACCGGCATTGCTTCCTCTACCTACACAGAAGGTGACTTGTACTACACGGGCACATGCACAGCCGTGAAGTGTCTGACGATATGATAGCCCCTGGCCCTGGGCTTGGCCTGGGATGATTAGCAGCTGATCTCCCAAGCTACCATGCAGCAGCAGCAGCAGCAGGAGAGGCCGCGGGAGGAGCTGACCTGCAGCTGCAGCTGCGGATGAGAGGAGGGAACGAAGAGGAGGAGGAGCTGGTGCTGGCCACGTGGGACTGCGGCAGCCCGCTGTACGACTCCTTCGAGCTCGCGTCGCTGCACTACGTCCTCGAGAAGCACACGATGGTCCTGCCGTTCGTCCCCGACGCCGCCACGGTGTCGCGGTCGAGGCGGCGTTCGCTGCGTCGGTATCATCGGGGCGGCGCCGCCCTGCCGCCCGACATGGCCAAGACCGGCAACCGCGGCGCGGGCGCGGCGAGGAGGACGAGGGGGTGGAGGGGCAGCAAGGCTGCGGCAGCTATATTCAGGGCTGTTACGTGCTGGAGGAGCTCTGTATAGGTACTTCCGTGCTTTCTCGGGCTGGATGCCGATACATGTTATAAAACACAGTAAAAGAATAAATAGTCAAAAGATAGAGAGACTATTATTTATTTTGTGAATATTAATAATTACAGAGCTTCCACGTATATATAGTCATGCCAAGATCTAAGAGTTTAGTAAAAGCTCCCATGCAAACGGACTAGGATTATGATTTCTCATTTTCTTTTCTTTTAGGATAAAGTCCGTATGTTTTACAACACTCCTCCTTGAGCGATTATCACAATATGCACATGCCTCGTTAAAACTCCATCCAAAAACCCTATGTAAAAAAACGGTTCTCGAAGGAAAGAGTACATCACATTTGTTAATTGTATTGCACATGTTGTCTCATTAAAAACCTTGTGAGAAACCTTCAAATAAAAAATCACATAGAAAAAAAGAGTACAACATTTAACCTTCTTGATGATGTATTCTTCAGGTTATTCTATTATTCATGAACAGATATTGATCTTCATAATCTATGCATAAACTTTAATGTTTTGACAAATATGATCTACTTGATATTTGTAATTTTAGTGGTTTACCTTCAAGGTAGATTTAATCAAATATGCTCCTCCTCATAGAGCCATGGTTTGAACTTCATTATTCAAATCTCACTTTTCATAATTGTGTGATTAACTAATGGTATGCATTACCATAATATTATGGCGCCGTTCGCTGGTCTGATTTTTTCAGACCAGCCGGCTGGTTCCTCTCGCACAAATCACTATGCATCTTTCAGCCGCTACAGTATTTCTCTCTCACACAATCAATCAATTTCAGCTAAGTTTTAGACCAGCGAACGGAGCCTATATCTTTCAAAAGATGGCTCCCAATTCTTCTATGAATTATAATATGAGTATAAATAAGAGCAATATGCTTCATGCATAATGACCACTTTTTAGTTGTGCACAACAAATAAAATTTGAGAACCGAGCAGCGCTCGGATGGCTAGCACAGCCAATGGGCTTGCAGCCGGCGCGAGTTCGATTCCTAGGAATCGCACTCGCATCTCTCACCGGGGTTCACCCCCAAATAAATTCTGTTGCCTCTCACGTGGAGCCACAAAGGGAATGCGACGCGCCCCGTCACCTACGGGTTCATGGTTGGACCCGGTGATCTCACGAAGGACGTGATCTAGTGATATGAGTATAGTTGTAGATTTGTTTGTGTACGCATGGTGCAAGTGTGGTGTGCATGTATAGGGTTGGTGTGATTCTGTACATGAGCAGATACTACAGCTGTATCTTGATGAGAGGCGCAAAAAAAAATTATCCTTCATGGTAATAAATTCTTTCGGAGGATTATGAGAGTAAATAATTTATAATATTCAATATCTTCTAGATAATGTATCAAACTTATACTAGAGTTTGAATACTTATAATTCTTTATTAGTGGATTTTTAAATTATATGTTCTACAAATCTTTGAGATTTTGACTGTACCACTAAATAATAAATCCAATCTTGTATTTAGCATTTAGGGGATAATTCAATTGCCAAAGTCACAATTATTCTTATGGTATTTAGAGGATATAAACACTTAATTGCTAGCTTTACAATATACACTTTCTGAGTGTTTGTATGGCACCTTCATGGTGTTTATTATGATTCCTCATTGCTTTCTCTCGGGTCCATATTCACTTCAGGGATCAATAGGTGTTTATTCAAGAATCGACTGGTAAATCCTTCATGGATTAATTTCTTCAAGGATGTTCTTATTCTTATTGAATAACAATTCTCTTCTATGAGATATATTATCTACTACATGAGAGATTATTATGTAATATACACAATAAGACAACACTATTCACTACAAAGTCGTTCGATGATGCTTTTTCCTTCTAGAACATGCTTTTCTTGAGACTTCAATATTCATACATGAATATATTCTACCTTAGACTTCTTAATACTTAGTATGATATTTAATTTCTATATGTTGCGATTTCTATTCTTCAGGAACTATATGAATTTTCAGAATCCACTTACTAATTGCATATTCATTCATTTCATTTGCCGAGACATAGCAAAATATTTATTTCTTCTTAGTAGGAGATTCAACCTCAATTGTTTTTTCATTGACCAGATATAATTGCTACAAGCAACTTTGCCATGGACTTTATTTTTCGGATCCGGGTTCTCATAAGAGAAACATTTGCAATTATAGAGATAGCGATATCGACAACTATTATTTTCTCCTAATATTCTCACAATGTGAGATTATTATATCTCTTTGTTATTTTCCAAACAAGAGATAATTTATTGTTCTGCATACTCAACACTATGATGCACGCGCTTAGTGTGTTAGATTTCATCTTCATGATGATCCTCTTTATGAGGTACTTAACTTTCTTCATGAGGTGTTCTCTTTATGAGAATGGAGGAGTTTGTTCTTTATTTCATTTAACAAATATACACTAAACTAGAACCTACAGGTGTCCCATAGATTTTAGCTTGATAGTATACAACATTTAGTTTACTACTAGTAAACACAACTTCTGGTTTATAACTTTAAGTTACACCTCTCATTTTTCAAAATTATCTAACATATGCTCCGTTTCATGCTTCACAAGAGCATCAGTCAAACTATTGTTTGATTTATTATGTGATACTATTCCTACTTCAAGCTTTAAGGAATATTTTTCTCTGAAGACCATTTTTCTTCTATGGAAATAATATTCGACATTCAACATAGGCTTTCTCTCCCCTAATGCCAATATTAGATCTTTAATAGCATACTTCAAAAGATATCCTTTATCATGGGCTTAAAATAATTTAGATTCACGTATCTCCAACTACAAGTGGAGGCCTATTCTTGTATGCTATGATGTAGTTTTATGGGAAATATTCACGCACATATTTTAACACAGGGGCTATTATTCACTAAATGCAGCGAGCTAGAATACATAAAATGTACTTAAGAATGTTCAACATTCCTACAAACTCAGGGATGTTCTCCCCCTGATTTGCACATATCATGGTTTAAAACTATTTTATTGTCTAGCTTCTTTATTGTTTAGCCTAAAATTTTGATCCAAATACTCATACATAAAAAATTAGGCCATATACTTCAAATATATAAAATACGCAACATTTAAAGTCACATGAAATTTCTTCTAGAATTTTCTAATTGCCATTAATACAAAATTCCCCCAATGTCTTTTCTTCATAAATCACAAATCATCATAAGTGTTTTATCTATCAACTCAATTTCCACTATAATTCATCCCTTTCAATTAGGTCACTTCTCTATTTAGCCAATTTCAATTTAAGCAACTCACTCCAATCTTAGGCTACTTAGCCCTAAACTAATTTATTGCTTATCATGCGATCCATTAAAAGCAAGATATTTCTTACTTCAACGAGAACTAACGTGTTAGCTAGCCAATTTAATTATGAGGGGAAAAGGTAGTAGCTATAGGCTACGAATATAGCTTCTATCCTAATATTCATGCGGGAGTAGAGATTGTTGCAGCTCCATGAGAGTGCACAACATAGTGATACACATTCATGTGTAATGTAGAATATTAATATTCAATCCAATGTATAGATAACAACAAAATACAAAGCTACAAACTTTCTTGTAATTAGTGCAATGTAGTGAAAGTTAACTCAGCCGAAAGGGACGCGGCTAGGAATTCAAGTCATAATACATGCACTTAAAAATAGATTTAGGAAGACTATGCCTATATAAATATATATTACCCATATTTTCTCATGCCTTTATCCAAAATTCCTCCCCTTTTT